TTAAAAACAAAAAAATCAAAACACTATTAATCATACCCTTAGTCGTCTCACCCGCTTGTTGGGAACTATAGGAGGGTTCCCAAAAGCGAGTAATCCTTCATTATAAATATTCCTGTTCTAAACACAAGATACTATCTCCCCATATATAATTAAATCTACTTGTATAATATCTGATTTGAACGTGGGAGTATTTCACAAATATATATACCTCCCTTGTTTCATTGAAGGCCTATGAAAAAGTATTTTAAAGGATCTTCAATGGTAATATTATGGTTAGTCCGGAGTTAAATGATATGGAGCATATAAATTTTTATATATTTGATAAAAAAAATTGAACGTAAATAATAGTCAACTTTTTAACTGTTGTAAAGACAATGGGTTAATGATCATCAAGAGATTTGAATTCGTGTGTAACGTAGATATTGTAATTAAACAAAATTTTAAAAAACGAAGTGCATTAAAAAATTAGAACAGACTCCCAAAATTTGAGTATGTTGGAATATCAAATGCAGAAAATTGAAGGAACTCAAGCCTAATAGAAGTTTTCTTCTTAAGGCAATTTGTTCCCTCTATTGATGCTGAAGGTTCACGAACAATTACCTCCCAAGATAAAATGGATTTTCGTCTCAAGAATGATGACACTATCAATCAAGAACCCAACGAACACAACCAAACGTTTGAGGAAATCACATTTTTTTAATAATATGGTATGAATGCACTGTGCATGCATGCATAATAACGACGTACAAATGATGAATGATAGATTATAATTTCTGACGGTGTGAACGCCTATATATAAAAAAGTCACGATTCAAAAAGCACTTATTTAACGACGAAATAACATATCCGTTGGATACGAAAAGACACATCTGTTCGACATGAAAAGATACATTTGTTTGACACGAAAAGACACCTATTAATTCAAGGATTAAACAATATGTCCATTAGGATGAAGCAATACATCCGTTAGGATGAAAAAACACATCTGTTTGTAGAAGAAAAGTCACACATTTTCAATACCAAACTTCTTATTCATATATAATCCATGGAATTTAGACCCAAAATCCAACATTAACGTTACTATAGAGCTAGAATTGTTTTCGATTTTGATAGCCATACTCATAATACAATTCATATGGATCTATACAAAACGAAAAAAAAAAAAAAAAACTTTCACAAAAGTGAACAACTAGCATGAAACATACAGACTTGCTCAGAATTCTTATATTATCCACGTTATACAGTGTATTAGTTTTTTGCAACAACAGAAAAGTAGTGTCTCTCTTAGAGACAAAAAATAAGATCCATTAATTTTAAATTTTTTTTATCAAAATCCAACGTCGTATTCTGATAGTTTTTTATATGTGGAAGACAAAATATTTGGCCGTAATTGCAGAAATACTTTTGCCTTATACAATTATAGTGAAGATTGTGATTTATACAAAGGGCAAATGATTTTTGCTTTAAAAGCAAAAAAAATTATCTGTTAACGAGACATAAAATTTATGTTTTTTATCTCATTATTTTCTCTCTCTATCATTTTGTTTCAGCCTTAGAGAATTTTTTTTTTCAGTTTTTGAAGTAGAAATCATTTACCCATATAAAAATTAAAGGCTCTTCGAAATAGGTATAAACCTTGTTTTTGTCTATTTCTATTTTAAAGCTAAACCTTTTTCGTGGATTATTCTTACCTGTTCTGGGTCTGTTAAGCCATTAATGTTGAGCTAGTGGCAGTCGTGGTATCCTATAAAAAGAGGGACAGACCACATTGTTGTCGTCAAGTTATCATCGAACTTCCTCGCAGCTGACAGCAGCGACAGCCGATATGATCAGAAAGGAATTAATCAGTATTGATGTGACTGTTCGTTCGTGATGAGTCCTATTACTATAAAAAGAAAGGCTTTAATAGCTCTCCTGTTGTAGCAATACTTATTTTCACTAGGATCCGATTTCGTATCTTGAAACTTTTTTTTTTTTAATTTCAGGATCCGGCTCCATATCTTATGTAAATATATTTGCTAAGTTTTTCCATCAGCAGTGACAGCAGAAATGATAAACCTAAAATAAAATATTACGGTGATTTGCTACACTCATCGTGGATATCTCGTTATACTTGACTTATTATAAGTCGACTAATATTTGGTTAATACCCTTAATTTTTAGATATTTTTTATTCTTCTAAGATTAACATTCAATCATTTTTTTTATTGAATTCATATATATAAATGGAAAAAAGATTTTTGGATACATTGATTGTAAGATAATCTACTTATACTTACATAATAATGGTATATCTAACACTTTAAGTACCTATAATTATCTTCTTTATCCTGATTCCTGATGATAGTTATAGGTCATTAATCCGGGGGAAGCTACATTACTATTCAATAGAGCATCCCTACCTGAAAACCGGGAATTTTAAAAGCTAGTAGGAATCGGGTGGTTTCAAGGTTTTGGTATTTTGCTAGTTAAATTTCGTGGTCTATAGTTCAATGGTATTGGTCCGACGCGGCCACAGGTCCCAGTAATAATTTTATTCATCCTAAACAAGCAAGACAAGCCACTCTTACAGCCACGTAGGACCTGGTTGATAACTTCTAATATCATGCTGCTGTAGGTCTTCGTTATTTATATTTTAACCCTTGTATGTTTTTGTATTGCTTGTTAGTCCTTTGCTTTTATATCACCGGGTCAGATAAGAAGAAAATAAGATTGGATAGACGACCAATATGCAGTAATAAACTTCATAAACTTTCTGACAGGTCCTTAATTATTCTCTACCGCTAGCAAAGATTTAAGGACCATCCAATTTAAAAGGTAATCATCGTGTCACGTGGGTTTCAGGGGAAGCTTGTGGTGGAGGATCATTATTAATGGGTTAAGCTAAATCAGTCATATCAAGTGGATTTGATATCATATCTTAATCCAAAATCTTAAGGCCTTGGGTTAATGAGTTCATCCACTTATATGCACTTCACATAAGGCATTGAGTTAATGAGTTCATCCACTTATATGCACTTCACTTAGCTCATTATTAATCAACGTGAGACTTATCACACTTGAATACTCCAATAATATCCCCTTAAATGTGAAACCTAACATTGATATGCTTGCCCTCAATCGAATACCTCAGGGCCAAGTACTCAACCCTCCTCCTAGCCAATTACTAGGCTAGCTCGAGCCCAGCCCAGTTCTGATACCACTGTCAGGTGAGTCCAGGGGAAGCCCATGGTGGGGTGATGTGCGTCTAGCATATGATGTTTTCTAACTTGAAAGAAGCAAGGAATTAATCATAAATGAGTGAAAATAGTCATTAAATGCAAGAAATATTGATTATTCCTTCTCAATCATGTTCTCACTCAAGTTATATGTTAAATAGCACGAAACGCCGCAAAAAGGAGCAAAAACGGAGAAACCAAATTTCCCGCTGGCGCACGACGCGCCAAACTGGCGCACGGGGCTCGGTACCTGGCGCACGAGGCGCCTTATCGACGATTTGCTTCTGTTTCGGCCGCGCACGGAGCGCTGGAGGTGGCGCACGACGCTCCAACCTGGCGCCCAGCGCGCGGGAGTTGGCGCACGGCGCGCGGGACTGGCGCACGGCACTCCAGAGTTGGCGCCCGGGGCGCCGTTTACAGATTCAGCTTCTGTTTCTCCCAAGTTTGGGGTGCCAGGCTTGGCGCCCCGTGCGCGGGCGATATATTTTTAAGTGCGAATCAGCTAAAATAAGGCCCAATTGGAGTGCAAAGGAAAATAGGTTTTCCCAAAACCTAATAAAAGGATCAGAAACATAAGAAGAAGGGACTTTTGGGAGAATCAAGAGGAGAAAAACAACAAAGAGAGCAGAGATTCCTTGGAGCTTCTCGGAGATTCAAGGATTCGATCGATCAAGACGGAAGATCTTCATCTTCCCTTTCTCTTCTAGGTTTTAAATGCTACTTTATTTTATTGTTATTTTGTCAGACATGAACATGTCTGGCTAGTTTTATCATTGTGGTAAGGGTCACAACCCTTGATGTGAACCCCTTGTACCTTGGTTGAATTTTATGTTTATCTATTTTAATTGCATTTATCTTTTCTTGTTCTTCATTCTATAATTCTATTGGAATTGATCAATCTAGTAGGATTGCGAGGGATAAGGTTTACAATAGGGATGTTGGAATTCTAATTCCTGACAAAGAATAAGATAACTGTTCATGTACGCACTAGGGATAGGCTATATGAACCGCGAACGTTAAAGATTCATTGATTTTAAGGGTTAACTCGAAAAGGGATTTCTAAGGGATTAGGATTCTAATAGAGTTAACAAGGTTAAAGTCACTAAGGGATTAGGGCTTAACTACTCATATAAAAGATGATGAATTGTTCGATCAATTGAATAGGTAAATGTAAACGTAATCCAAGTTGCAAAGTGGGGATCGGAAAGGTGTTTGTTTCTCTTTACCGCAATATTTTCTCAAATATTTTCCCAATCCTTAATCTTTTGTTCTTGCATTCTGAAAACACTTTTGGAATCATTTACATTTTTACTTTAATTATTTTAGTTTGTTTCATGAACTACAATCATTCTCAACCTAGGATCAACTGTACCACGCATAAACTAAAGCAAACAGATTAGTAACACAAAGATCCAAGCAAGAAAATCAAAAGTTATAAATAACTTGGCGTAATCAATCCCCGGCAACGGCGCCAAAAACTCGAGTATTGTCAAACCACCGATTGCTGCTAATAATTATGACATCCAGCCAGCACTCATCACCTTGGTGGAGAAGACTCTGTTTGGTGGAGAGGACTATGAAGATCCTCACGACTTCATAGACAGATTTTTAAGGATCTGTGATACAACTAAACACAACGGAGTGTCAGACGATGCGATCAGACTCCGATTGTTCCCGTTTGCATTGACCGGGAGAGCTCTCAAATGGTTGGATCGACAAGCTCCCAACAGCATCAGAACATGGGAGGATTTGGCGGCTAAATTTTTTGCTGAGCACTTTTCCATGGAAAAGTACAATAAGTTGGTGAATGAAATCACCAACTTTACTCAACAACCAGGAGAGACTCTATGTGCAGCCTGGACTCGATACCAGGAGTTGATCAGAAAGTGTCCACAATATGACTTGCCAGATACAAAGAAGGTCAGAGTTTTCTATAATGGGATGACGCCAGAATGCAGAATGATTGTCAATGGTGCAGCTGGTGGCACCATAGGAAAGAAGACAACAGATGAGACCTTAGAGCTGTTGGATTTAATGGCAAGGAATGAGAATGCGTCTATGGCAGCAGCATTCCCATCTGTTCAGCCCAAGAAAGGAATTTTACAATTGGGGAATAATGATGCATCACTGGCGGAGCAAAAAGTGATTTCACAGCAATTAGCCAATTTGAATGCCAAGTTGGACAAGATGCAGCTCTCAACATCCAAGGTTGATATATTTAACTGTGAGTATTGCAAGGAGTCGCATGACACTAATGAGTGCCCTACACTTAATAAAGCTGAACCATTCCAGGTCAATGGAATTTGGTACGATCCACGTCCCCCCCAGAATACTCAAGGTTACCCAAGGAATCAGAATGGCGGTCAAGGGAATAACTTTCAAAGGAGGAACCAAGGGAGTGGCTTGGATTATAAATCCAACAACTTTCTGCAACCTCCTCCTCTGCCACAAAAAGAGCCATCTGAGTTAGAGAAAGCAATGATACAACTGTCCAAGACAACTAATGATCACATTAATGAGACATGGGCTTACCACAAGAACCAGGATGCTTCCATCCGGAACTTGGAGAGTCAGATAGGCCAGTTGTCTAGGCAGTTGGCTGAAAGAACTCAAGGGCAGTTTCCTGGAGATACTATTATGAATCCTAAGGAAGACTGCAAATCTATTGTAACCAGGAGTGAGATTGTGATCACCCCTCAAGACAAGCAAAAAGGCGTTCAGAAAGCGAAGGCTGATAAACCAGTGATCGAGCCAGAACAAGAAAAGGAGGTAGACACGCTTGCAACTGAGAAAGAAGAGCTTGCAAGGCAGGACAAAAGGGGGGAAAAAGAGAAAATTGTTGAAGCTCTGAAGCAACCAATGGATTTCTCTCGTTTTGAAAAACCTCCTTATCCTATGAAGCTGAAGCAACAAGCACAGAAGCAACAATATGCCAGGTTTTTAAATATGTTTAAAAAGTTGCAAGTAAATATTCCTTTTGCTGAAGCTTTAGCTAACATGCCTAATTATGCTAAATTTATGAAAGATTTATTGTCTAGAAAGCATAAGTTGCAGGAATGTGAGACAGTAGCACTCACTGAGGAGTGCAGTGCCATTATACAGAAGAAGTTTCCACCAAAGCTTCGCGATCCTGGGAGTTTCAATATCCCGATTGCGATAGGCAACACCAATGTTGGCCGAGCACTATGTGATCTTGGAGCAAGCATCAACTTGATGCCATTGTCAATATGCAAGTCATTGGGAATTTCTGAGTTGAAGCCAACCATGGTATCTTTACAGCTTGCTGACCGTTCTTTGAGGAGACCTAGTGGAATCATAGAAGATGTTCTCGTTAAAGTTGACAAGTTCATCTTCCCTGCTGATTTTATTGTGCTAGACATGGAGGAAGAAAGTGAAATACCCCTTCTGTTGGGTAGACCGTTCTTGGCCACAGCTCGAGCTATGATTGATGTAGAACAAGGAAAGCTCGAGTTGAGGATGAATGATGAGAAAATCACTATCAATGTCTTCGATGCTATGAAGAATTCATCTGATCACAGTGATTGTTTCAGACTTGATGTGTCTGAAGAGGTGATTATGGAAAAGAAAAGTGATTATCAAGAGCTTGAAGAAGAGTTGAAGGCTCAAGATGAAGCTACTCCACAAGAAGAGCTAGAAGTTGTTTTTGAGGTGCTAGAAAAGAAAGAAAATGATCTAGTTACAGTAGCACCAAAAACAGAGTTGAAAGAGTTTTCTGAAACGCTGAAATATGCATTCTTGGGAGATAAAGAGCAATATCCCGTTATCATCAATAAAGAGTTGTCTATGGATGAAAAAGAGAAGTTGTTGAAAGTGCTCAAGGAGCACAAGACAGCTATTGGGTGGTCTATTTCTGATTTGAAGGGCATCAACCATTCTTTCTGTACTCACAAGATGCTAATGGAAGACAATGTTAAACATGTGAGACAATCTCAGAGAAGACTAAACCCCACAAAGAAGGAAATCCATCAGTGGCATGAAGGAAGCAAGCCAAAGGTTAAGATGGAAAAGCCCAAGGGTAAGGAAAAACATGTGAGGACTAAGTTTAAAGTTTCTGAGAACCCTGATCCTTATCCACATGCATATGAGT